TTGTCTGTCTTTTCCACTAGATGGTGAGCTCCAAAAGGCAGGGGCTGGGCCTGAGCATTCAACAAACATTTACTGGGAGAGGAAAAGAAGAAAGAAAGGGACGGAAATAAAGGAAGGGAAAGCAAAGGAGGGGAGGGGAGGGGGAAGAGAAGGGAGGAAAAGGCAGAAGGAAATAAAGAAAGGGAGAGAAGGAGGAAGGAAGGATTTAGCTTGACATTAGTTTGCCAGGAGATAAAGTAGACCCTCCCCTGCTTACATCTGGGTCCCAGCCATACTGAAGACTCATTCTCCAAGCGCTTCCTCCCCTCCTGTCCCCTTGCTTCTCTCGTACCCTCTGCATGGGCTATCTTTCTCCATGTTCTGCACATGCTATTTGCCCATCCACATCCACCATCCATCCCTCTCCACCCTGCTCTGTGTCCTTGGGAGACTGGCTTCACTGGGGTGCATCTGTGGGTTCCTTTGTCCTGTGGCTTCTAGAAGAAGACAGGGAAGCAGAAGGGAATGACAATGTAGCATTTACTCTCCAGGCTCCCTTCTGGCCTGGGGGCTACAGGAGGTTGGCAACCCCTCTTTAGGGAGAGTCACGGCTTCTGCCCAGGGGTCCTCTGCACACAGTCACTAGGTTCCCAAACCACTCTGTCTTCTTGTCCCTCCAGACCAAGGATACAAATGGCTCTCCACTGTTGCTGACTCTGGCCTTGGCAATTGTCAAGGTCTGCCTACCCTGTTGTAGATAGCTTCTCCTTCCAATGTATCCCTCCTTCAACTCTCCTTAACTGTTCCATTTGAATGTATCACCTGTTTTCTGCCAGGATCTGGCCTATGCAGCCTGCATCTCTACCTCGGAAAGTGTTGCCCCATCTCCAGCTGCCCTCAAAGCATGTCTCCGCCAGCCAACGCACGTTGTCCTCCTTGTCCAAGCAGATCTCTGCTTTCCAGAGCTCTGTCCCACTGCGTGTCATGGATCAGAGTTTCTTTTGGGTGAATATGGTTCCCCCACCAAAATGAAAGCTCCTCAATGGTGAGGAGTGCCTCCCACCCCTTCCGGCATCCCCAGTGAAGAGCAGAGGGCCAGGCAGGGATGCACAGACCCAAGAGATGTCTGTTTGCAAATGTTACTGTGTGGTTCCATTACCATGACTGGAGGAAGATAGCAGCAAAAAGTCAGGCTGTGCTGGGCTCAACCCCAAGCCCATCAAGGCTACTCTCTACAGCATTGCCACGATCCTCGCTGTGCATGCTTCAGGTGACGGGGTGATCACTCACCCGCAGAGAGGTGCTCCCCTAGGACCATCACTCTGAGGGGGGATGACATCATCTGTTACTCAGCTCTGAGCTGCCGCCTATAATTACAACACTCTGGTTCCAGCCAGGGCTTAGAAACCATATAGAGGAATTCTGCTCCCTTTCCTACAGGACAGGCCCTTAGAGACTTGAAGTGTGTATACCATCGCCCTATAGTCTTGGCCCCAGGAGAAGTTGCTCATCGTGCCAAACATCTTCACACGGTTATGATATAAGCTCCTGCCTCTCACTGTCCAGTCCCCACCCCCTTTTTTTTTGTGCTTCCTCCACTGGTTGCTGTTATTCTAGATCCTTAAGAAGGAAAACTGGCCGCCAAGATAGCTCTGATGGTTCTACAGGGGTTCATGGAAGCCCAAGGCCGTCATCAGCTTCTCTTCCAAACTCACTCATTCAGGCACTCCACAATCCCAAGCTCTCAGGGATAATTGGGGAGAGTGAGAATAGAACATGAAGGGGCAGGGATGTGTGACTGTCCAGAATGTCAGGGCAGTCCTGGACAGCTGTGTCACCGCAGATGACCAGGAGTCAGAAATCCAGAGCAACCTTATCTCTAGTGTGACTACTAATGGACAGTGTGAGCTCTGGTCTCTGTTTCCCTCTATAGGGCAGAAGGGGCTTGGACCAATGATCTCTGAGGATGTTTCTAGGTCCAACACTTGACCTAGGATTAGGTGCTCTCCTGGAGTCCAAACATGTTAAAAGATACACTTCTCTGACAGAATTCACCCATCTGTCCAGCTCCATTACTAGGAATCTTATTATACTCAAGGGAATCGCTACGTAAATTGTCAGAACAGCAAATTTTAATCAATGCCGCTCAAGGGGGGCAGGGCACGGACTGCTTTGGCGTGGTGCATGCAGGAATGGAGAAACTTTTCAAGAACTCTGACACTGACACTCTGGTGGTATTTCATTTTATATGGATTCATTTTTTGCTGTATATTTCAAAGGTATTGGTTTGCAATATACAGGGGAGAAAAAAACAACAAAACTGGTGCCTTACCATAGACTGAGAAGTATTCAATAGTTTTATTATCTTTACCCATTAAGAGAGAAAAAAGAGAGAGGAGGGCAGAAAAAGAGGGAGGAAGAGAGGGAGGGAGGGAGAGAGAGAGGACCCTGAGGAGAATGAAGTTCAGCTCTTTATTAAAAATCACCTAGATAACGTCAATCAAATTTTCACTGCTTCTACTAAAGGTGCCTGCCTCCCTCCCTCCTTTCTCTCTGTCTCCCTCCCTCCTTCCCTCCCTCCCTTTTCTTAAAGTCACAAAGCAAATATTTTTTTGCAAACGTCCCCAGGTTCCTCTCTGCACACAGGAAAGCCAAAATAGCCTGGACACCGTCATTCCTGGCCCCGTCAGGAGATGACACATTGCCTGATGGGGCTCACCCGGGGCTCATGACCTTCCCAGCTGGCAAACAAGTGCCCTGGCGTGAGTGGTCACAGAGCTGGCACACAGCTGTTCCCGGACATTCTGGGCAGGCAGTCCCGTGACTTAGAAAAGGGGAGGCCGTTGGAGGCTGCCAACTCTGTCTGCTGATGGTGAGGTATCTGGGATGGGGCCCCACGGCCCCTCCATACCAGGACAGTGCTGGCTGCCCTCGGTCCTGACCCAATCAACTCAGCGGTTTTCCCCCAAGGCCTTGTGAAGGCGCCCTGCCTACCAACCCTGCCCTTCAACTCTGCCTCTTACTGCTTCTCAGGCTTAAAAATCCTTCCCTTCAGTGGGAGCTTTAGAGTCAACAGACCTGGATGTGAGTCCAAGCTCTCCATTTACTAGTTGAGTGACCTTGGCTAAATCCCTAGGTCAGTCTGGATCCTTGCGGCACAATAGGGCTAAGGGTACCCACCCTCCTGGTGCTGAAGAAGCAATTGTTGTAGGAATGGATGAACGAATGAATGAATGAATGGGCAAATGAATGAAAGCAGGAATGAAGGAACAAATGAACGTGGAAATGGGTGAGGGACATGCAGCTATCCGTGGCACTTTGCCCTCCTCCGTGCCCACTCTGCCTGAGCACGCGGGTACGTCCTGGGAGTCCAGCTCTGTAGAGCACATGCTGCCTTAATCTCAGAGACTTGCATTTGTGACTTAGCTGAATGACTCTCCTAACCCATGACCTTGGCGGAGTCATTGCCTCCACTCAGCCCTTCTAGCTCCCTGTCGGTCAAATGCAAATACTAACCCCTGTCTTGCCTTCCTTACCAAATTCTGTCAAAGCCCAAAGGAGAGCAGAGATGAAAGTGCATTGTGACCTGGAAGGAACCAGCCACACAGCAAGGCTTCTTCCCACTTGGGCCGCTTGTGTCTCTGAACAAGGTGGGAGTCCAGGGCCCGCCTGGTGCCAGCAGGCTGAGCTGACGTGCTTTCTGGCTTGCTGCCAGGCACGACATTCTCCTGCCAGCATCGCCATTCCTTTGCACATAGGTATTTTGTCTGTGCATGGGAGGCCCTTGCTTTTTTGAGAGAGACATAAAGAGAAGAGTCAGCAGAAAACCTGCAGAGGTCGGCAAGTGTGCTCGAGCTATCAGCAAGTCCAGGGTCCTGTGCGCTGGACAGAATGGAAAAGTCCAGCGTGAATCTGGGAGATGAGGAAAGTGGATGCTGACTGTCTCTCTGGCTTGGAACTAGTTCCTCTGAGTCCCATATTGAATATAGATCACCACGGGTTCACCTCTGGGCTTTTCCTTGGGGGTGCTGTTTAGAGTTGACAGTGCAAGCAGAGGCTAAGGAAAGCCTTGGACAGAAGTGTCCCCTTTCTGCCCTCTTCTCCGCAGTGGATGACATGTCCCTCTGCCCAGAGTGCCCTCCTCTCTCCCCCAACCCAATCTTGGATGTCCAAACCAGATCGGAGCTTTTCTGAGATATTCGAGTGCCAAGTCAGTTTTTTTCTCTTTGATCTCCCTTGGCATTCCCTAAAAACAGCGCACAGCACACAGCACTTTCCTGACACAAGTAAGGACAAATATGCTTACTGAGACCTCAGGGCCGGCCAGCCACGAGCAGTGGGACCATGCGCTACACGCCCCCTCTCCATCTCCAGAGCAGCTTCACAAAGCAGGTGCTGTTATCGCTCCCATTTTACAGAGGAAGGCATGGCTTCTAAGAGGTCACAGAGCGAGGAAACAGTATGGCTGAGACCCGAACCCAGGCTGTGCGACCCAGCTGACCCCGGATTTACCAGCACAGTGCAACAGAATGAGCACTCGGCCGGGAAGCGTGTTCCATAATGCTCTGTCCAGCACGGTAGCCACTAGAGCCCACGAGGCTGCTGAGTTCGTGAAATGTAGTTTATGGGACTCAGTCCAGATTTTAAATTTATTTAATCTCAACTAATTTAAACAGTCCCAGTGGACTAGGGAACGCGCTGTACCCCACTCTACCACGTGTGTTATGACAGTTACCCATTATGTGACTCACACTACCCAGTTTTGACTCTGAGCTCTTTAAGACGGGGTTGTCCTCTTTCATAGCCCACTGCGGGGGCTCAGCGAATACTGTTTTGGTGGGCTATCTTTGCATATCCCCACAAGAGATGTGTAAGAGGTTGGCTCAGTCACCAAGCTACCGTGCAAACCAGAAAATCTACAAAGTTCTGGAACCCCTAGGGCTCTCAGGCACCTCGCCTATGCAATGCTGAGGGGACCGAGTCAGCTCACAGCTGGGCACTGCCTGCCTGGCAGGTGTTACCTGTGTGGAGAGTCGGGGTCGAAGCAAGTCTTGGTGACATCCGTGATTTCGGGGTCGCAGCACTCTCCGCCATCAAAGTTGAACCGTTCATAATTACAGTCCATGTCGCACACCCCGTTGTGCTGCTTCTTCACAAAGGCAGGGTGGCGCAGGTGGCGGCAGTCCCCGCCGTCGTGGCCGGTCAGCGTGTGGTTGCACTCGAGGTCGCAGCTCTCATCCCCAATCTTGCTGATGTCGCAGTTGGCCAGGACGAGGCGGTGGCGCAGGGAGGAGTTGCTCACCTCGAGCACCTCCAGATCCCAGGAGATGTTGTAGTGTCTGAAGGCCTCGGCCAGCTGCCGGTGCTGGAAGTCGATCTGCTGACGGCTCACAGTGGGGTTCTCATGGTTGTCGTCATGGAGGTTGACCACGCGGTAGCGCACCACCTTGGGTCGGCGGAACCGCGGGAGCTGGTTGTAGCTGGCAATGACCTCTGTGTTGTCACACAATGTCTGCCCACACAAGGGAGGCTCCAGACTTGTGTCCAGCAGGAAGCCGTGGGCACCGCTGAGTTCCACTTGGGGGATGTTACCATCCTTCATGGGGGACCAGGTGTGCTTCACGTTGTCCCAGTTCTCCTGGAGGAGGAGCTGAGGTAGAGGCGCGTGGAGGCCATGGGTTTCCATGTCGAGCAGTACCTCCCGCTGAGTCCGGGCCACCTTCCACAGACTGAAGCGCTCGATGTAGCCCCGGTAGTTGTGATTCAGAGCACTGCCCCCCAACATGAGCACTTTACACTTCTGGGTCAACGGGCTGAAGATGCCACCCACCTGCTCCCCCGAGGTGGCCACCTGGGCACCGTTCACATAGAGTTTCATCAGCCGCCCGTCATAGGTGGCGGCTAGGTGCACCCACTGGCCTGGGAGGTAGCTGCGGTGGGCATTGATGGTGGTTACTTGCCGGGCTCGGTCTGTCTTCAGGGAGAAAAAGTAGCGTGGGTCTCTGTTGCCTTGGTCACTGACGGTGTGAATTCCCACGACCCATCCTCGGTCACGTGAGGTATAAGAACATTTGTCGTACAGCCCTATGTGGCCCAAAGAGAGAGAGAGAGGCGTCAGTAAAGGATGGAAGAGGGCACTCAGTTACTTCTCTCTGTTAAAACTAGTATGAGGATGTCCTAGCCCAGTGGTTCGCAAACTGTGCCCTACAGGGTCCTCCAGTTCTTAATGAAGCCTCTGGGACCAGACTTAGGACAAGATAAGGGCTAGAGGAACAGGAGGAGCTGGTTTTGGTGGGGGGTTCTCCCCACTACATGAGCCCAAGTGGTTTCACTTTCATTGGTTCTGAACATGGAACATACAGGAAAGATTTCGGTTTGTAGAATGGGTACTTGGGCTAAGAAAATACCAACAATAACAACAATGGAAATCTAAACACCTTTGATTTTGCAAGATTGTTGGAGGGGAAGAGGATATTATAATAAAGAGGGTATTTTAGGGGCGCCTGGATGCCTCGGGGGGGTTAAGCCGCTGCCTTCAGCTCAGGTCATGATCTCAGGGTCCTGGGATGGAGCCCCGCATCAGGATCTCTGCTCGGTGGGGAGCCTGCTTCCCCTCTCTCTGCCTGCCTCTCTGCCTACTTGTGATCTCTTTCTCTATCAAATAAAGAGATTTTTAAAATGTTTTTTAAAAAGAAGGTATTTTAGGGGATGCCTGGGTGGCTCAGTGGGTTAAAGCCTCTGCCTTCGGCTCGGGTCATGATCCCAGGGACTTGGGATCGAGCCCCGCATCGGGCTCTCTGCTCGGCAGGGAGCCTGCTTCCTCCTCTCTCTCTCTCTGCCTGCCTCTCTGCCTACTTGTGATCTGTCAAATAAATAAATAAAATCTATAAAAAAAAAAAAAAAAAAAAAGAAGGTATTTTAGGGGCACTTGGGTGGCTCAGTTGGTTAAGCATCCAACTTGTGATTTCGGCTCAGATCATGATCTTATGGGTGGTAAGACTGAGCCCCCTGTCAGGCTTTGTGCTCAGCAGAGAGTCTGCTTGGGATCCTGTCTCTGTCCTTCTCCCAACTCATGCACATGCTCGCTCTCTCTCAAATACATAAATAAATCCCCCCCAAAATTAAAAAATAACCAAGAGGGCACTTTAAGTGTGGGATGATATATGAGGCAAGAGGAGAATGGGGTGGGGGGTTAGTAATGAGTAGAAGATGCTCATTGAGAAGGAGCACCCCTATTACGGCTGCCAAAACCTTGGGCACACATCACTGCTGGCCATCATCAGATGGCCAGTGGTGGTGAACTGTTAGCAAAGTTGGCCCAGAGAAGCGAGAGTCAGGGGCCACAAAGCTAATGCTTCTACCTTCTAACAGGAGGCCGTCCTGGCTAGCCCTGAAATCCAGCCCCAGAGAAAGGCAGACATGCTTACTGTCTGAGCTGGAAAGATTTTTAAAGAACACTGCTTCCAACTTCTTCACTTCACAGGTGAGGGATCTCAGACCAGGAAAATGAAAAGCATTTGTCAGGTTACACAGAGTCAATGACAAGTTTCTGAGACCCAACTCAGCTTTCTCTGACACTAATGTTAGTATTTGCAAAAGAATGAAGTGAAAAGCATCCTCTTAACATAAAAGATGTGGGGGACTCCTTCATTACTTAAAATCATCCAAGCCTCTGTATTGTACTAAGGTCTGTGTGTGAATTCATTTAATCCACGTAACACCCTTATGGTGATGATGTTAACAGACGCGAGATTCTCAAGAAAGCAAAGAGGTGGATGGGTTAAAGGTCAACTGGCTGGTGAGTGGCTCCTCCATCCATCAGACCCTGGCATTCATCACCCTGTGCACTAACTCTGTGGGTGCTTCCTTCTCCCCCACCAAAGCCACCAGGGATCTAGAACACTCCAACTGCTTGCGAGGGGGCACAAGTTGGGTGTTCAGGAAGGTCCCATGGCTGACGTCTCTAGACTTACTCTGGGAACCCCAGGAAGTCACTTAGCAGATTCTCTCTGGATCGAATTATCCTTATAATCACCAACCCCCATTCCTCAGCTTTTCTGGAATACACCCAGTGTCCTTGGCACAGACAGGCTGTTGGATGGGGAAGAGGACTTTCTAATTAACAGTGTGTTTTAAGTGTGGGATGATGTACGAGGCCAGGTGGGAGGAGAAAGAGAAGGAGATGAGAATGAATACAAGATGCTCATTTAGGAGGACAGTCCCTACTCTGAGCCGGAGACTGGCTGCGGTCACCATAACTTTGAGTGTGCATCTGCCATTAGCGTTCATCAACGAGCATGGAGAGCTTCCAGCAAAATCAATGGAGGAGGCCCACAGGCTCTCTGCTCCTTTGTACCGGGGCCTCAGAACCTGTGTAAATCTCTGTTAGCATCTGATGCAGAGGGCAGTTTTGGCCTGGCATCTGAGTCCGCCTATACCCCTCCTCCCACTCCCTGCCCAACAGTCCCTTAGGCAATGGCTGGGGTCGCCTCACAACGTCAACCTGCTCTCGCTGGCTGGGCAACCTTGGTGAAGCACTAAGTACCTCTTTGGGGTCTTGGTTCTCTATCTGGTGAAGGAGGGGACTGAATGAGTTTCCCCTCACATGCCTGGTTGAAGTCTGCTTCTCTGCGTTTCCAGGTTTTCTCTACCACTAAAACAGAAACCACCTCTTCAAAGAAGCTCTCCATGATAGCCCTGTAAAGAATGCTCATCTTTCCTCTCAACTCATTTTACTTTAGGGCAACTAGACATTTGCTCTCTGGTTTTGGAGTCCCCCTAGATGGAAGGGTTCTTGAAAGGGAGAACTCTGGCTGGACCATCTGTCCCCTGCCTAGGACCTTGTACCATTCCTTGTCTACAGCAGGCGCTCAGCAAGCGTCTCACGAAGGAGCACAGGAAGGATTCCAAATAGAGCCAGAGAAGGAAAAAGGACAAACAGAATCAAAGGCCCTAACTTAGGTCTTTATTAGAGTCAGAAGAGAGGGTGTGTTCTCAGTACCACAGAAAGAGCAGTATCTTTGGACTAGGAGTCATTCTGATGAAAGAGTTACTAAGTCGAACATCAGGGCAACCTCCCTTCACTTCTGCAGGTCTTCCTTCTCTTGCGTAGATCTCCCTTGCAGCATGCTGTCATACTCAAGAGACACAGTGGATACGCCATCCTTGGCATACAGTAGCCATCCAAGTGGGAGCTCATTTTTAAGACGCTGGTGAGTCTGGGAGTGATATCAACGATACCAAGTAGGAAATGACAAGAAACAAAATACAGAAAGGCCAAAGAGAGAAGGCACCCTGAAGGCATCTTGACTAATGCAGCAGGAGTTGGTAGGATGAAGGCTCAAAGAAAGCATGTGTCCTCCCCAGAGCCACTGGCAAAGCCTCCTTAGAAATCACGAATCACATCTGCTTAGCTGCTGTCATGACACTGCGTGTGAAAAGCTACCTCCCTTGGACCCTTCCGAAGCAGAACCTCTGACTCCAGATTTGGAATGAGCTACCCCAGCTCTATGTGTTGCTCCTTGCCACGAGGATCAGTGAGAGCAAAGTTCCTGGAGCCGGAGCCGCCACGCTTGGTCTCCCCCTCCCACCTCTGAGCTCCCTTCTCTTGCTCCCCTGGCGAACCCTCCCCCTTAAAGAGAAAATTCTTCTAATGAGAAAATTAACATCTGAAACAGGATCCCCTTTTCCTCTCTCTTTCTCTCTTTTACTCTCTCTCCCTGCAGGTTTTTTATTTTGCCAGGGGCTCTCCCGTCCCTGGTTTTCCTGTTGCCTTTGGAAGGCGGCTAGCTGGGTGAGCAAGGTAAAATGTTTACACATCTGTAGGGTGCCCTCAGTTCAGAACCTTCCTGGGGCTTGGGACCCGGCTCAAGACCCCTCTGTTTGCAGTTGAAAGGCCAGACTCTGCCACACAGAGCCAAGGACTAAGAGCTGGCTTAGCCCCCAGAGGCAGAGGGGAAGGGCAAAGAGGGGCTCTTCAGTGGAACCAAGAGGAAACGCGTTAAGGGAAATGAGAACCTTGAAGCAGTGGCTTCAGAAGTTCAGAAGAAAATATTTATCTGGAGCCTAAGCGGCAAAAGGAAATCAGTGAACTTCAGCAGGGGTGTTATGGGGGCGGGGATAATGGTGATAGGGACTTATTTCTGTATGCAAATAACCTAATTGACAGTAGTCACACTCAGGGGGCTGTGCCACCAGTCCAGAATCAGGGATCTGGAACCAGAGATCTGGATGACCTTGCCTGGAACAAGTCACACCACCCCTTCTTGCTGCCAGGCTGCTTTTCCCTTCTTGGAAAAAGGAGAGGCTGGGATTAAATGATCCCCCCACCCCTACAATTGAAGAGCTCTTTTGTTCACTGCTAGAATGGTTCCTTGTAAGCAGAAGGAGCTCAGTACAAGTGTTGATTTGAATGTTGGATGCCCTGCGTCATTACTAATGCTCGCGTGCTCAGGTCCCCTCTGCTCTGTGTATCTCCATAAAGGACACAGAACGGTGTTCCCTGGAGGACATGGGCGAACCCCCACGCCCAGCCTGTCCCTCCCCATAGTTGTCCAGGAAGACGGAGATGTAGTGAAGGAAAGAGAGAGAGGCTGTCTGCAGTCTGCACCAGCTGCATGGTGCTGGAAGTTGATCCCAGGGGACACATCCCCATGTGACAGGATGAAAGCTACAGGGTAATCCTGCACACAATCTACATCTAATTAGCATAAGCCCGCCTCAAGGCCATGAGCCTGTGGAAACAGACACCAAAAGTGTGCAGAGCCCGTGAGGTGTGCTGGGCATGCACAGATGGACAGGTCTGGCCCCAGACCTGGAAAGGGCTTGCTCTGGGCCTCGTGGTAATCACTGGTCCCTCGAACCCTGGTCCTCCAGCCCTTCTAATGGGCCCTCATCCTCCCGCAGCTAGGCTTGTTTTGAAAAGGGCTTCAGATGCCCCCAAGAAGCTTGCTGCCTGCTTTTTACGATCTTTCTTCTCATCTACCCACTGAACCTTACCCTGGAGACACAGAGCATACATAAAAGAGGCTAGCGCAAAGGCAAAAGGCTTGTACAGAGTGTCCAGAAACGCTGGCCAGGGCTGT